CCAGCCGTTGGCAACCACCCTCGGACACCAGCAGCGGCCATTGGCAATCGCAGACCACCCCTAGATGCCACTGACAATGTCAGGGGCGAGGGGGTGTTGGGTGGCAAGCGGCGACTACCCGTGGGAGGCACCTTTTCGCAGGGGATGCGCCGCCACGCTCAGGAAGCGCACATGCACCCATGTGCACCCTCTACGCATCGCCAGTACCCGCGCTCGTGCTGTGCATGCATCAGCCACGTGGCCTGAGCGCCCCAACCTGCCACAGGCCAAGTGGGGGAGCTGCAGCCGCCTGCTTCTGTGAAGGGTTCATGGATGTTAGGGGCTGGAAGGGACCTCACGAGACCATCGGGTCCAGCCCCCCTGCACGTGGGCAGGAAAGACTGCTGGGGTCTTGACCCTCCACCAGGCATCTCTTGCCATGCCCCCGCTGCAGAGGAAAGCAAAAACCCCACAGTCTGTACCTGGCTGCCTGGGGTTAAATTCCTTCTGACCCCCAGTATGGCACCAGTCTGAGCCTGAGCAGAGGGGTAAGATGACACACTAGGCAGGACGCTCCAGTTTTGGTCCCAGCAGGAGCGCTGGCGCACCCCTGTCAAAGTCCCCAGCCTGGGCTGCAGTCAACATCCAGCAGCTCTGAAGGCTTAAAAACACCCCGACACCTGGCAGAAAAGGGAGGTTGGGGGGGTGGGAGGGGAGGGGAGGGGGCAACCAGCAAAGCCCAGAAGTGCGGGAAGTCTGCATAGTTGAATTTAGGCTTAGCTTCATCTAAATCATCCCCAACCAATGGCTAGCCAACCTCTTAAACACTTCCAGTTCAAGCTAATATCATACTGTGGTGGGGCATAACTTTGCTCTCTGTTTTGAATGCTTGCGAAGGCAATACTGCCATCCACTTCATGCACGGAGTTATGGACATAAGTTGCAAGCCCCTGGCCAGAATTCAGTGTCTTCCTCAGAGGCATCCTGGATGCTCCCACCCTGACACAATGACTTCTGTACAACTCCTGTTGCCGGGCTTGGTCAGTGTCCTTGCAGCTCCCCACAGCACTCCCCT